AGGTATGGATGTTTTCTACAATAAACTTAAGAGGTAGGGACGTAGCGCGCCAAAAAATCAAACGTAGGGATGTTTTCCACACAACCCTTCAAAGGTAGGGACGTTTTGCGCCAATAACCCGAGGCAGAAGTGATGGTGAGATGTTGGCGGTGAGGGGTTTGTCGAGGTGGTGGTGGATCTGGTGCGACGATGTGATATTTTTCTGCGATGTGTGCTGATTTGTTCGAGATAGTGTTGCTGTCGAGATGTGGGGAAGGTGGTTCTGACGGCGACAATGGCAATGGTGCTGTTGGAGTGAGGGGTGAGATGGTGGTCACAAGTGTTGGTTGTGATCACAAATTATTAGTCGATTGTGACCATTAAATGGGTTAATTTGTGACCAATAAACAATATGTAAGTAATGAAAAAGATAAATTGTGATCAAGAAATAAAGTGTTACTTAAAAAATTGTTAATTTGTGATNTTTCTTGATTGTGACTAATAAATTAGTTGGTGTGTGACCAATAAACAATATGTGAGCAATGAAAAAGATAAATTGTGATCAAGAAATAATGTGTGACCTAAAAAATTGTTAATTTGTGATCGATAATTTGAAAATTTGTAACTGTCTGATCAGCTGTGACTTATAATATTTGTGATTTGTGATCGATAAATAAATTGTGATGTATAAATTTTTTGTTTGTAACTGATAAACAAATTGTAACTTATAAATTTTTTTGAAATGTGACGGTAAGATAATTTTTGATATACAAAATTTCTAATTGAAAACTTGTAACTCTATGATAAGTTGTGACTTATAATATTTGTGATTGGTGATCGAAAAATATCATGTGACTAATTAAATCGTTAATTTGCGACCAAATGTATAATTAATCAATTGATTAAATATATAATTGATTAATTAAATCATAAATAAATTTTAATTAGTATTTGATTTTTGAAATTTGAAACATTTGATACTTAACCTCTTAATTATGAAATTTTCCCAAATAAAAAAAAAAAATAAAAAATCAAGAGCCGACTTGGCTCAATAAGGCTTGAGCTTAAGTTTTTTGGCCGAGCAAAAACTCAACTCAATTAAGGCCAAAAAAATTTCAAATCATTTTTACTCGAGTCAAGCTTTAGTTTTGGGTGTCTACTCGCAAGCCAGCTAGTTGACACGTCTAATGACAGTGTTGTTATAAAGTATTGTTTTAAAAATGGACCAATAATGATTAATTCAAATAAGTATCATTCACTGGTTGAGGGAATGTATCTGATATGATCTAGTAAATTAATCATTCTTGTGGAGGGTAACATTATTATTATAATTTCATAGGGAGGAGGAGGATGACATCCTCCTCCTAGGCTAACGGGTGTAGAGAGAGTATAGGTGTAAATTGAATCAAACATCCACTCCCTTTGTGTAGAGCACTTAAAGATGATCCATATTAACATTCACCCGAATTAGCCCTCTCCCCCAAGTTGAACAAGTGTCCAGGATAGAGGTGTAAATTGAACCAACAGACGACCTGCTAAAACATCCCCATCTGAAAAAGGAAGCAAACGCTATCCCAATTAGTAATAACAACTGTATAGCACGACTTGCTAATGTATAATAATGTTACTACTACATTAGACGAGCCAAAACTGTTGTTTTCATGTAGAAATGCAATTTAAATTGGGAAAAAGAAGCTTCAGCTCAATCTCTTACTAACCGTCCACGTAATCAATGAGTATTTAACTACTGACGAACACTAAAAATTTAAATAAAAGGATTTAAATAATAAATTCCCATACCCATGACCCACATTTCAGAACTAAGCAGCAGTTACATCTTCGGTAATCTTCTCATCACCAAACAGGAGTTCTAGGGATGGCACTACTCTTGGAAGGACAGGCAAATCTGCTAAGTTAACACTCATATTATCGAAAGCAATGCACATTTTATGCATGGGAATTTTTCCATCAAATTTAGGAATTTTCGGGTATCGTTGGCTGAAGTGAGTGAGGATTAAGCGATACACTCCACTCGAGTTGCCTGCTTCCATGGCTTCTTTTATAGTGCTGTGCTTTTTTTCTTCGGCCTCCTTCGACAGGCTATCTTCAAATGTAGCCTGCGCGAGAAGCCAAAGACACCTGAGTTTATCTCCAATAAAAGATTTTAAGATCCTAAATCTACAAATCCAAATCCTGGACACACTCAACAATACCATAATTATGTCTTACAACTTACCTCGTGTATAAGAACTGTTGCTCCACATGAAGCCTGTTTAAGTTCAGTACAGGGCCTTGTGTCACCAGAATACACAAGTTTCCACCCAGGTATCGTTTTTCCAACTCTATTGATCCTATTCGCAGCCTTCAATACGACACCAAATGCCGGTTCACAGTGTTCAACAGGAACACTTATTAATGTTTCTAATCCAGCTTCCACAAGGACCTCCTTCAAGGACTTGAGGATTGGAACGGCAGCAGCATTCTGAACAGGACTTCTCTGCCTCTTTGAGCAGCTTTGCATAAAACCTCCTCCATCAAACATAGTAGAATCACCACGTTGTCCCTCTAGTGAAATTGTATATCCATCCTCGTTTGAATTAAAAGCCTTGAGTGAAGCTTCTTTCGTATACTCACAATCAAGAAACTGCATATCTAGATCCTCAAGTCTCTGGTATGCATCAAGATATCCCTTAAGCTGCACAGGGCCAATAACAATCAGAGGGTCATGAGGTATTCCCTTCAACAATTTCATTCGAAGAGCAAGTATCCTAGCTAGACCCGTATGGTGATCTGCATGAATATGGGAAATCCAAATACATCGTAAACATCTTACTGCTTCATCAGCACCTTCAATACCAAACCTGTTGCCAGAAATTCCAAAAGATAATACGCTTCAACAAAAACACTATTAAAATGAGAAAAAGACACCACAAACAGAAGAAAGTCCATGTGAGAACTTTAGACAGCTTTACCTTCTTATTAGTTGTCCAAGCGTTCCTTCACCACAATCTAAAAGCAAACTTCCTTTCGAGAAAAGATTGATGAAGATAGAACTAACATTTCGATACTTTGAAGGCTGAGATGAACCAGTCCCGAGAAAAATGATCTCCATGTCATCTCTAGATACATCTTCCAGACAGCCTGGAAGTGCACTATCATGCAACAATGGCTCTTCGGTCATAACTCTATTAGCTGGCACGAATGTCTTCTCTCTGCTAGTTTCTCCATTACCTGACCACAACTGGTTTAATTGTTGAGACTCATTTAGAATCTCCGGAATCTCTGATAGTAGCTCATCAATAATTGCTGAGGGGGGCGTCAATTTTGGTACACCAGATTTATCAAGTCCCAGATTTTTGTAGGGACGCAAATGGAACTGTTCCGCACATAACATCATGTATTACTAGCCGCGTGAAAGAAACACCAGAGACATTTACAGCATTCTTGAAGCTACTAACAAACTAACAGCACGAACATATCATATATAATAAGCATACACATTAATAATAGCAGGCTTACAAGATCTACTAACTATTAAGCTTCCACTATCCATGCACTTCTATAAACAAAGATTTCATATCTATAACTTCCAATAGTTCTGAGTCGAGCTTATATATTACCACCTGCAATCACTAAGATTAAGAGGCAAAAGGAGCTAGCATTTCGACAATACCTACACTAATACTTTCTTTTTTCAGAAACTTATAAACTATTCTAAACATTTGTCTTTACATTATATCAGTCCTTTATATCAAGAGGATAAATTCAATTCTCATTCTTGGAAACTAATTGATTTAGTTGACTATTCAGACCTTAAGAAGATTCTCTGCTGGAATGGTTTCATTGATTCCCGATGTGAGATCCTGAGAGGCGAAACCAATATCGATATAATTTACAAGTAGGTTATTTCCACAATCATTTAAATTGAACACAAAATCTAAATCCAGAGCATACCTCATTTGATGCCTTCAATCCAGAAGGCAAGCATTTAAGAGACCAGAAACCAGGAGAGGGAAATAATTGAGGACACAGGTAGTTAAGTCGAGCTCCCATTCTTGCACTTGCTTTTAAAATAGGCACTTCAATATTCTTCCTGCAATATATGAGGCTCATCAGTCCGAATTATTCAAGAAGGAATGAGCAATCAAGAAATATAATGAAAATGATGACAAGAATCTGTTAAAAGAAAGAGACATTTCATTCCCTGCCATGATATGCTGAGCTGCACCAAATTTTGACATCAATATTTGATAATCAGATGTGTTTGTGATGTGTGTGGGACTAAGATGGATTACGCAATTCACATTTTTCGAAATTTCTGGTACATTTCCAGCTGTATCTGCAAAATAACGAGTAAGACTTTGTACAGACAGTAACTCTTGTAAATGCAACGGCGTAGGGCAGTCCATTATCAATACTATAGGGGCAGGAATGGAAGGGCCAAGTACTTCCACTGGGCGAACCTGAACATTACAAGTGAATCAATGCAAGAATAGGAAAATGTCAAACTTTAAAAGGTTAGAGAATCTACCACAGTATCTTCACAATCTGACATCACGTCTTTTCCACATTGCAATAGATCATACTTTGGCCCAGGTTTCAATCCAAGAGAAGCAGCTTTTTTGGCGTCAAATTTTCTCTTTATTCCTTGCAATTCACAAATATAAATTACAGAAGGGGTTGCAGACTTTGTCTCTTTCAAAGCAGTATCTAATCGACTTGGTTGAAGGACTATTGCGGATATCTTGACAACACCATCATTAATAAGAGGATCATCAATTTCCCGAGATGTGGAAATAGCATCTCCATTAGAATCATGCCTTTGACCAAAGGGATAGAAATGATCCATAGCAGTATCAGGGATGAAATATTTCATTGCAGCAATTAAATAGTCGAGATCTGCAGGACCCCATACCCTGACCTTCTGTACAGTTAAGAAGAACAGTTACAATTTCATTAATTACCTGACCTAATCCTAACCATCCATTTTGATGAGGCTTTTTGAATCAAACCAACACTTACTCCTACATTTCCTATGCCAGACTGTGTCAACAAGACTCCTACAAGCAACAAATTAAGAAGACTTTTAACTTTCTGCAACTATGGAATAAATGCCCACATTATAATTTTTTATGAGAAATGTTATATGATCAAGAAATACAATGCTAATAGAACCTGGAAGTCCACCAGCAGTTTCTGAGCAGACACGTGAGAGAAATATGTGATCAATCTGGAGTACATTTTATTGAGAAAACAATTAAAACGTCCACTTAAGCAAGGAAAATTGAGTATAAAGCGGTGCTTGCGGGTATGATACCTTCGACAGTTTGATTTTATGCTCAATGCAGAAGCGTTGAAACCCCTAGAATAATTATTGTATCGTTAAAAATAAATCAAAAAGCTCCAAATATCAATCCTTTAAAACTATGCAAAACTAGTATCAAGGAGAGATTCCAAATCAAAATAAACAGAGTTTTTTACCCAACTTTGATTGCCTAAGATTACTCCACCGAGAAAACATACAAAAGAACTGATAAACTCCAGTACGGTTACAGTCAATGATGAGACATTGACTAGAAAGAGAGATGGGAATTAGTTTTGATGAATGAGCTACCTCACAATATATTTTCCATTTTTTTACTTTCTGTGTGATCACAAGGAAAGTGCATTCCTTAAAACAAGTCATCATATAAACTTCGCACAACAACATTTTGAAGCCAGCATTTTTCTTTCCCTTTTTCCATGGAATTTTTTCCCCCCTTTCTTCTGGTTTGGGTTATGTTATTGATAATAGCAAATGTCGATTCTCCTCTAGACGTCAAATGATTCGCAACTTCTGTATAGATTCTCGCAAGTGATGTGTCGAAAATTTAAATAACAGAAAATTTCACATGGCTTACAATGTAAATAACTAAAACAAGTAATACTTACTTCACCAACATTAAATATAAATCTCTGCTTGTCAAA